CAAAAAAACCCCAAACCTACAAAGCAAAACCAAAAAGCCTTAAGTTTAAATGCTGTAAAAAGCAAAAGGGGAAAAACCCACACATCTAATACTGTCAGTGACAACAATCTTTGCAGAAGAGTGTATCTCGTTTTAAATGATGCATAGCACATCACTGTGTGTTCTTTTTCATGCCATCTCTGCATTTGAAAGAGCATAACATGTAATTTTTTTTACACTGATACTGTTGACATCCACTTTGTGTGACAGCAAAGATGTTTCTGAGGCATGCATTGCTACCAATTATTTTGATACAAGGGTGAAAGAGATAAGTGACCTGAAAGAAATTAAAATATTACACAACAGGTTACGTATTTCATCCAATAAACAGATCTAATTCCTGTAAGCATTAAGAGGACGTGTGTACATGTAAGGAAGAAAATTTTCTCTCTCTTACCCTGAAAGCTTTTAAAATATAAAAAACTGGATGAAAAAGGTAAGATTTGAGGCAGTTCCTGAGGGCAGTGGGGAGTTTCCAGTCTGTGGAATCTCACTGAAACAGTTTTTGGACAGTATAGCAGAGAACATCTCATTTTCTCAGTTGTGCTAAACTGAAAGGAACCCACTGTATCAGAATTTGGAAGAGAGGTTTAACTAAACCAGTTTGGGGCAGACATGGTTGGGAAAGCCTAAAAGTGCAGGTTCATCCCAGGCAGGCACAAGGGGACAGCTGGAGGCCATCAGGGGTCTATAGCAGCCTTGCCATACCATGCTTATGTGCTCTGAGTTATGGAATAGTTGTCCCAAGATGTGTCAAAGTTGGACTGACAGACATGACATTGCCTGTGTGACTCTGCTGTCCCTTTGGAGCATAAGGAGGATAAGTAGAATGAAGGGGATAAGTGGAAAAATCAAGGTATAAATCAGCTTTCCCAGTGTTTTGTGTGCTGGCCAAATGCTGAATATTGCCCATGTTACTTGCCTGGGAAGAAAAAATTGAATGTAAATTTGAAATGCATGTAGAGGGTGTGCATGTTTATATAAAAGAGCAAAGCTCCTTAGGGAAGTTATCTTGGAAGAATGACCTTTCCAGTAGCAGAATATTTGAGACCTGAATAAAATTTGTAGAAACTGGCAGAAAAACAAGCCATAGTTTGAAATTTGAAAAGTTACTATTTCCTGCCAGTTCCTTTTCTTGCTGGGATAAATGTGCTCATTTCTGAACTGCCGTGATGTTCTTGAAACCACATCTAGATTTAAATCTTGAACATTCTTCACCAAAATTCATCCCAAAAAAGAGGTAATAGTGAGTGCTTTAACTTGGTTTGTCACTCCTTCAGCTGTCACTCTGTTCAATCCTTACCTCATACGAGTCTGTCCTGCTTTCCATTGGCATCACTCAGAAACACAGTCTTACCAGAAAGGACTAATGGTATCTGTTTATGGTTCCTTGATGGAAGTGGAGTTCTCTCCAGCACTCCTATTAAGGGAAAAAATGAAAAAGCCTGTAAATTTTTGTTATATAGGCGAAAAAGCATGGAAACCCAGCACAAGCTCAGGCCATTGCTTGGTAGGTTCCATGTTGAGGCTCAGTAAGGCAGAGGTCATCTGCGAATAAAATTCTCTCCAAGGGGTTTTCACTGTTTCCTGGTACTGAAGTGTTCAGCAAGCTCATCTAATATAAAAAAAAAAAATCCCCAACATTTTCTATGTTTTTTTTTTCGTTCCTTTCTAGCTACATCTCTTGATAATTATTAAATCATCCAGAGAGAACTATCTCACTGAACATTTCCTCCTCCTTTAGACCTGCCAAAAGATTAATTTTCTCCACAGAAAGAGAATTGCATAGCTTCATTCCATCTGTGTAAACTAGAAAATCACTTCCCTTCAAAAGACAGAGTAATTAAAATACATTTTCAAAATTTGTATAAAAACTAGAAATGTTTTGAGTAAAAGTTCTGATCTAGACGAAAACCTAACTACCTGTGTGGTTTTAAACTTAGTCATTGCATAAACTTCATGTGGAGGACAGGTTAATCATGACCTTCACTTCTTTGCATAGTCAGGGATATATAATATTGAAGCAAGCAAACAAACAAACAAACAAAAAACAACAACAAAAAAAAAACTAACCCCAAACCACCAGCCTATTTCAAGCTGTAAAGCTAAAAGAGAACCGACTTACTGAAGAAAGATCTGGGAGCAGATAACTTTCCAGAAGTTTCAAAAACATTGTGACAGTGATTGTAATGTCCTGGAGCTATAAACAAGAGAGTACATGAGGCCAGCCTACAAGTATTTTTATGCTGAATCTAATATTGAGAAAAAACTTGCCAGAGGACAAAAGAAAGAAATAGACTGAAAAATGTTCAGAATGGCTGTTACATGATGGAGATTTTCTCTCCAAATGTTGCAATACTCTTTCTCAGAGGCCTTTCCTGCTGTGCTGCTCCTCCAAAGAACTCATAAGTTCTGTCTTGCTTGTCTTATATCTCTAATGTCATAGTTATAAATCTGCTGAGAATCAGGTATATTTTGAAATTTTTAAATTAAGTATCACCAGAAATTACTGCATACATTTCAGATCTAGAGTAAATTTTCTGACAGGAGCATTTCTCACAGTTTCACTTAAGTCTTGTTTCACAAAGTTCATGCCTATAGACTGACTATTGATTGCTTAATTCCCCAAAACAAAAGAAAAATCTATTTACCAATGGATTCAAAATCGTCAGAAATTTTGAAACATGGTGCTTTTTATAAATGAATGGATTTCTCCACTTTCAGTTAAAATCATGATGTCTGACCAAGCAGAACCACAACGTAATTAGTAAGTGTAAGACTACTCAGTTTTATTTCAAAATAGCCCTGGACACAAAATGGTTTAGAGGCTGGCTGAGTGAAGAATGTTCCCCTTGCAGCTTAGTGTGTCAGGTGCTGAAAGGTTGTATTAGAGCAAATTGCTGTGTACGCCATTCTCCGTTAAATATAGGAAATAAAAGGATGTTAACAGATGTATGGGGAGGGAGACTTAGAAATCTCTGCATGCTTTTCATTTCTAACCCCCTCCCTCTGTGGCAAGTGCCAGCATATGTGTTTGGAGCACCAGCAAGGGTTCCTGCCATATGCCAGCCCATTTCAGTGTTTTTGCCTGTATGTGTTTGCATGTGTATTCATATGCATATATGCATACAGGTGCAAATGACATAAGGTCAGTGTTCAGTGCCAGATACTGAAAGCAGTCAGTGTGGAGGAGGGGGAGAATCATAACTTTGACTGCTTTGAACTCAAATTAAATGTGAAAATGAGTAGCTACTTGAAATGGATTTGTCAAAATAGCCAAAGGGAGTTTTGACCTCATCACTCGTATATGAATGGCTTATGGACAACTAAATCCCTGGGCTTCTTGAAAATCCTAAATCTAAAGGATATTTTTTAGAGCTAGCAACAAGACTCAGTGCCACTGACATACTTCTGAGAAATTGGCATCATGAACCTTCAATCTGATTAGTTACACAGGTACTTGTGAAATTGCTTTATACCAAAGCCTTAAAAAAAATTTACAGGATATATTCCAGTTCTCAGAGAAATCATCACTGTAAGAAATACGTGGTGCCAACGGGAAAAAACAAGTCAATATCCCTCTGCCTTCATATCTAGCCAATCTGCCTATCCAAGTATTTTCTGTAAATTTAGTATAAATTTAAAAGGTTTAAGGGCATGCAGTTGTATCATCATTTTTAAGGCAGCCAAATTAATTCTTTCATGCAGTGCTTGAACTTAATGGAGATTGACTGTCCTGTTTTCCTATTGTAATGATGTGTACCAACTCAAAAATGAAGATGTTGGAGGATAAAAAATAGTGCTGTGACTGCTATTGATTAGCTGTCTTGTTTGCTTCATTGTTCAGGCTCTGTTGGCCTCTTGGGCAGAAGGACACCCAAGTATAACATCCCTGACATTTTCCTGAAAAGATGCATGCCTTGAAAGTGACAGCCTTACTTAAAAAATACAGTTTTGATGTATAAATGCGGTAGTTTTACCTGAAAGGATTCTGATGGATTAGAGCAGACAGAGAGAAAGATTTCTATAACATACCTCAGGTCAGCCTTGTATTGAGAATAGATTTAATAGCAAGTGTCTTACATGATGATGACACTTCTAGTGTCTCTGCATTTCTGCGTGTACAGGACTGAGCAAGAAAAGCGGAGTTTATCTTCAAAGACAGAGCGATTAGGTATTCTGACTAATGTGCTCAAGTTTCATTAAAGGCTTTGAGTGGTCATGAATTCCAGAAGACTTGACTGTGTGTGCTGAAGAAGAAAAGTGGCCCTTGATCTGGCACATAATTTTATCAAAAATACTGCCTGTATTTTTAAAAGTCTCTGTATAGATTGTTTTTTACAGCTTTCAGGCAGTGGGCTATTTGATACCATTTTGTTTATTCTCTTGCCTATTTTTCATGCCAAATATTTAATACAAGGGTCACATAATTAAATTTGTAAAAACAATCATTTGTAATTGCATACATACGAATTTGATGCCACATGAGTGTGTATATAAAGATATGGCTCTTTTTTATACAGAAAAACAACTCATCATTTCCTTAACTCTCTGTCAATGTATTTAAAGCAGTCAAGTACACTAAGTGATTTCATGCATCACCTTTAATGAAATGCACAAACATATGAGCATGGCTGTAGGACTGGGTTGCAGCCAAAGTTAGAAATGCCTCTGATTTTATCAGTGTTAGGTTACAAAGGGCCAGCTTCTGCCACGTGTACTGTCATGTCTGGGAGAAAATGGATTTTCCCAATGAATGACCTGTCGCTCAGCAGGGGTGGAGGTAGTAGAGACTCAGTTTGCTAATGGCTCTGTGGCAAAACTATCTTTTTTATTAAATCATGTGACTACTTTGCAAAAACCTGGACAATCAGGCAGTAAGTGGAAGTCAGCCAGGAAAAAAATGAGGTTTCTGATGAGGTTTCTCCAGCTTCAGCTGGAGGTATTGCAGCACCCATCTGACTCTTCCCTTCCTCTCACCCTGTGCACCTGAGAGCAAGCCTCCTACTACTGCTTCTCTTGATTCATGCTTTGTGAGGGTCCTGCCTTCACAGAGCACATCTAGCCCTACCAGTTTCTTGGCTTAGTGTGTCTCATCTGCTGGTCCATGGTAAGTAATTTTCATTCTGCTCTTGAAAAACCCCTCTCACAAAGACCACTGGCAGTCTCAACCCATTTCTTATCTACCAGATCAAAGTTACATTTCTTCTTTTCCCCTTCAGAGCCGCTGAGAAGCCTTTCCTGTCCTCTTCTTCCCTCGTCCCTGGTGAGCTGAATCCCCTGCTCCAGTGGGGACGGTGTGTCTCCTGCCCTTCTACCTGTCACTGTGGACAGTGGAGCTCTGATGAAGTGACCCTCAAGGTCACACTTCTTTCCTTATTCAGGATCTCCAAGGAATATATCTAGCCTGCAGCATTATTTATTTATTAAAAGTAAACTCTAGGAAGGCTGACAAATCCGAGCCAGTCCCCAGCCCACTCAGTCCTCTGGTATGTTTTTTTTCTCTCTGTGCATGATGTTCCTTGAGTCCATTTTAATGGCAAAATATTTTGAGGACAGAACCTGCCTTTTGCCTTCTGCTTACTTATCTGTTTTGAACAAAAATTACTTGAAAATGAAGTCCTCAAAATTGAGCTGCTCCTCAGAACTGAGGAGCAGCTCAATTTTGGCAATGGCAATCTTAATGACAATCTTAATTTTCTTCCCATGCGCTGTGATTTGATTTTTCATTATATGGTCATGAACTATTTCTCAAATAATACAGCATTTTTTTTGGCTGAACTAAGAATCATTAGGCACATATTTGCAGATTTTTACAAGCATTACCGTGCATATATATACATGCATACAATTACTTGACATACAGAAAATCTTCAATAAAGCGTAGATACAGTGCAAATGGCATGTATAGACAGAAAGCATATTAAAATTATTTAAAGGAATATATTATCAGGTGTAATTTTTCACTGAATTAACTATATGCATGTTACTTGATGCAGAATCCATGTTTCTAATTCTCTGAGCACCCATTTCAAAACATGCAAGTATAGGGTGGAAAGTGAGGAGAGTACAATGTCAATTGTAGTAAGGAAAAAAAGGGTTATCTGACATATTCAGTGTTCATTTGCATCTTTCAGCACTCTCCAAATCTGTTTCTTCCTCAGCATTCACATTTCACCCATTCTTGATAGGTTTTGTTTCTACGTCCTTTGTGCTCTGCAAGGATATTCGGAGGAGGTTTGTGGCTTCCAAGACAGCAAAAGCTGCTAAACACACTATATAAAAGATTTTTTCCTTCTCACTCCATCTCTTTTCTGCCCAATTCCCTTTGTAATAGTCGTTTTTGGAGTCTGTACAGTCTAGAAAACCCTTGAGTGAAATGGCGGAGCCACAGCTGATGCTGCCAGAGTCAGACTTACAAGCAGCTCCCATGTAACAAGCAGCAGCACATGAACCCAGCTGAGGAGGAGGACGCGTGAGCTCAGGGAACATGGGAGCATTTTCCACAGATAAGCTTAATTCTACTACTTCTTTCCCAAGGAAGAGCAGAGGTTTAAAGTTCTGTGCAGCACCAATGGCTAATTTTCATGTAGCCTCTCCATCTGCTGCAGGCAGCATTGAGGCTTCCATGATACTGAAGAGAGCCAGAATCTTTGGGAGCAAGCCTCAAGGGCAGATCAGATCTATTAACTTTTCCTTTGTTGCTATTTCTGTTAGAAAGAGAGAAAAGAAAAAGAATAAAGCTGTTACATCCTGTTCTTTTCTAACTATGCTATTAAAATTGTGGTATTGTGGATGAGCTTTAAAATAGTAAATCTACGGTATTCTTATAATACCATAATGAAATGCACTGTTTATTGGCTGACAGAGAGAGTAAAGGGTTTTCATTTTTTATTTTCTCTTTTCTGGCTTCTCTGGTGTACCAGAGTCTAACAGGAAGATTTTTCTGGAGTCTCTGTAGCTTTGTGCTTCGATTTTGGATAGTTGGCTGGAAAAACTCTATTTTGACACAGTATATAGTATCCAAGGACCGGTGTTTTGACTATAGTGTTAAAAAAATTAGGTAATAAGAGGTACTTAAATGCATCAACGTCCATGAGGAGGGTAGTAGGTAAAAATACAGGAAGTGTACCTAGGTGTATCATATGTGCACAAAGATGTGACAGGCAAGCTTTTCATCTAGTAGATACTCTTGAGTTTGAAGATTAGTTGAGCAAAGTATAAACTCAGATAGCTGCTGCATCATGCGCCTCTTTGCGACATGTTGAGTATGTTTGAAGTATCTTCAAATATATTTTCAGCTTCAGCAGCTTATTCTGCAGGCATAAAGTCTTTACTTAATTTGTAAATTACTGTCTTCATTTATAAATTACTATACTGTATGCATTTATTTTAATCAATCACTGCAGTTGTGAATGCCAGTCTGATTTCTGAATCAGCACTCAAAGATAAATGATAGATGGTTTATTAAGCTCTCTCAGCTAGGGTTCATGGTGCTTAATTTTCTTAAGTGATAATATTTCATGCCATAATACTGATCTTTTTTTATTCTTCTTTCTGCTTAGTGGAGTTTAACCTAATTACATGTATGGTCTCTTTAACAGTTGCAGTATGGAGCCTTCACTGAACTTTCATAAATCACCATTTTAACTTTTTCAGAAGAAACCCTTCAAAAGGTCACCTGTCATCAAAGATATTCTAGCTAAAAGTTGTAACACTTAGTCCCATCTCTAAGCTCTCTTAACTCAATTACGCCAGTGCATCACTCATCTCTCTTTGTTGTTTGCAATAAAAGGGAAATTGGTCTAGGGCCATTTTTTGGATCCCTGGTAGCAAGACACTGTACATGTACTTACCTCATTCACAGCTGGATGGTTTCATTGTAACCCCTCGTGTCTCGCTCCAACATTTCGACCTCATAAAAGCATAATGTCACTGGATGCTGAGATTTGATGTAATTTAATCTGAAGATCGTGGAGTTTAGGTCTTACATATGCAGTTTAATAACAGCATTCTTGTCACCTGGAAAACTTTGCTCCCTCTATTAATAGTTTCATCTGCATTTTGTACACACAGAAACATATATACACCCAAATTAAGCTGAAGATGATTTTCAGAAGCATTAGAGGAAGAGAAAGAGAAGGGAAGAGGCAAAGAAAAAGATAACTGAAGACTAATCATACCAAAACCAGGCATGCTTTTGCTGTGTTTTTTTCCATTCCTGTTATATTTTTGTTTGGATTGGCTCCAGAGAAGCCCTGTTCCTTGTCTCTCTTGTTGTTGTGTGCGTGCTCATGCATAAATTCAGGTCAAGTATGAAAACTCTTTTCTGCATTCCTGGTAAGAATGTGTAATGTCCTTATCAACAGATAACAAGAAATCTGAACTAATTTGGCTCATGACCCTGGATTCTTTTCTTTTTTCTGCCATTAGCAAAAATACAGTGTTTGCATAGGTGTTATTGTATTTGGTTCAGTAAATTAGAGCTGCTTGAAATTTCTACTAATCCTTTTTCCATTGAGGGTTTCCCTGTACTAAGTGATGCTCAATAAAACAAAAAATACATGCACACACAGGTTTCTGAAATTTTCTGGATCAAATATAATTTAAGGAGCACAACATTTTAAAATGGGGTGTTGTATTTTTGTTTTCTCATTTTGTGTTTTTTTATTTATTTTTGTTGGGTTTGTTTGTTTGTTTGTTTTGGTGGGTTTTTTGTTGGTGGGGTTTTTTTTGTTGTTGTTTTTTGTTTTAATTACTGTACCAAAAGCAGCAATGAATAAACAGTGTTTAGTGAAAATATGCTTTGCTTGAAGTTGGTCATTTAAGCATACAAGGGCTGAGGGGTTATTTTGCAATGAAAGAATGGACCAATATATGAGGATAAAAGTAGAAAAAAGGTTTAACACACAGCACAAAGATGTTTTTGAATGAATCAGTCTTTGCTATTTAATTTACATTTTGAGGGCTCATTAGGATGATGAATGACACTGCTAGAGAATAAAACATACTTCCTGAACAAAAGAAAATCTCTGTAGCCTAATAACATTTTATGCCAGCACTTACATTTGTCAGAAGTGGATGCTATTTATCCCTATGATTATTTAAAAATCATTTTTATTGTCCTTTGTGCTGTGTCCTCTTCTGGGAATTTTAATTCAGAGTTTGACACCTACTTATTAACTTCCATGAAGTATGGAGTACAAAGGCTTATACTATATAAATGATTCTAACTAGGCATGTTTATATTGCCTGGAGCTGTATACAAATTAGCCAAGTTTGGATTCATTTCTATTAGAAATGGAAAAAAAAAAATTGAGTTGTGTAACCTTTAGTCGTCAGCAAAGTAAATGTGATTTGAGCAGGGCTGACCTGGGATTACCAAAATATGCCAGTGAGTCAAAAGAGCAAAGAGGAGGAATTTATGGCATTAATGCCATGAATTAGGAATCTCTGTGAGTTGAGAACACTATTTCATGTCTTCGTCTTCCTCCTCAGGAAGGATGAGGGTGAAATAGGAATGCTGATGTTTGAAACTTCAAGCCCATCCACTTCTTAATCAGTAAATAATTACTTGCTGCCTTGTCTTTTTCCGTGTCATTTACACATGACTATACTCCGGAGTCAAAGGTATGCAAATATCGGAAAAGAGACTATCTCTGGAAAAATGTCAAAATATTTTGGTAAATTATACACTATTATAATAATTGTATTTTTATGTTTTGTCTCAGAAGATGCTCTGCTTTTGTATCAAATATTAGATTTTAGACCCCTATTGAGCACAAACCATTCTTTCACCTACATTTCCTCTTCCACTCTCCCTGTGGTAGATCTGCTCGGCAGCAGTGATATCTGACCTTAAGAGTGAAACAAGTCAAAGATTTTGTTTGCTTTGCCTGGGAGAGTGCACTTGTTACTCAGTTAACTTTTTGTGAGAGCATGTAAAACAAGATGACATACAGATGACATATATTTGTTTGGTCATTATGATAGGATGTGGAAATGTTAGATCTTATTTTCTTTCCCCTTTTCAAAGCCACCCTCTATGCCTTTCAAGAAGTCCAGCTGCCACTAAAGCAGGTATCAGCATGCAAGAAAAATTATTTTCTTACTTCTAATTCTACAATATTTCATACAGATTTTTGAGGTGGTGCTAATCATTTGGAACACGAGATCCCAAATTTAGCTATTATTTTTATTTCTGAAGAAATTGCTCATCAACCACCAATATATTCCATGGATTTTAGCTATTTCATATTTTTTGGGCAAATAAATTATTAGAACATTTTGTAACACCATGTGCAGGCATTACATGATTCTGTGCAGGTGAGCAGACAGAAACATTTGGCTGCTTTTCATCCCCAAATGTGGCAGAAGTATTTCTGAGCATCAGTGGCAGACTGCTGTTTGGAGAGCTCCTATGGAGTTCTTGCAAACCTCCTGCCCTTGGCTGGGCCCAGCTGCTGTGAGTGAAAGCCCTGGGAATATTGCTCCAGGATGCACTGTGCCCTGACTCCCATCTTGTGAAGGACTGAGTCTGAGAAAGTTTGATGTCTTCAGACTTGATTTTGAAAAGCTGAGATCTTGTGGACAGGCCTTGTGTTTGTTTTCAGAAAACCCACTCTAGATTTTTAGGAGTTTGTGTGTGTGTGTGTGTGTGTGTGTGTGCGTGTGTTAATTTGTTTAGGACTTCTCTTATTTCTCTTGGTACTGTTACTTTCATGGGGGAGTTGCATTCTGCCTACCTAAAATGCTTCCAACCCTTTATGCTGCACAATGTACTCTTTGTTATCCCTCCTAAAAATATATAGTGTTGCTATATATTTTTATAAAATATATAGAACTGTGGCTATATTCCTGTATTTAAAGTTATGTATACCAATGCATATCTAGATTGGGAAGTGCTATACAAGTCTTCATGGTAATGTGCATGCATGCAAAATGCAGATTATTGCAGACTGTTTTCAGTCAAGACAAGTTTAGCATTTCTGTTGGTGACATGGACAGTGGGATTGAGTGTACCCTCAGCAAGTTTGCTGACAGCACCACGTCGTGTGCTGGCAGCCATGTGCTGGAGGGAACGGATACCATCCAAAAGGACCTTGACAGGCTTGGGAGGTGGGCCTGTGCAAACTTGGGTCAGGGCAATCCCAAGCACAACTACAGGTGGAGAGATGAATGGGTTGGCAGCAGCCCTGAGGAGAGGACTTGGGGGAGTTGGTTGGAAAAAAGCCCAAAGTGACCTGGCAAGCTTGCAGCCCAGAAAGCCAATCATACCCTGGGCTGCACAGGAAGTACACAGGCCTGTTGAAGCAAGTCCAGAGGAAGACTACGATGATCAGAGGGCTGGCTGTGATTCTGTGATTTAATCTTTACCTTCTGATCAAATAGCAGGATATACCACTTTCAAAAGTCTCATCTTTGGTGTTGGTAGGTTTGACTGAGCTCTGAACCCTAATGAGACACAATGGTTGACTTTGGGTAGGTTGACACGGCACTCTCTGCCATGGTTAGTGTTTGTACAGGCTGAGAGGTCTGATGCACAGGTGGGCCCAGATGAAGAGCTTCTGTCTCTGCTGTAGAGATCCATCAACTATTTATGCAAATTGCCAAAATCAGTGCTAGTTTATTTTAATATGCTAGACAGTAAACTGTAGCAATTCAGCATCTGCTATGCAAGCAGGAACCTCTGAGAGACTATCGGTACAGAGAGACAAGAATGGAAATGCAAGCTTGGCCTCTGTCTCATTTTTGCTGTTTTTTTCTTCTTTAGCTTAGAGGTACAGTTTTTCTGGGTAGCAAGTGAACCGCTATCACACCTTTTCAAAGGCAGTGGTTTGGTTTTGCAGTTATTTTCTAGGAATGAGCAATCCTATTGTATCTTGAGTTTATTTATAAGTGCTGTCAACAAGGCAGCTGGGGCAGTGAGTGTGGGGTAACACCCTACAGAGCCTGAGACCCATGTGGGTGATCTGTGCAGATGGGCTGCTGTGTCTATAGAGTCCCTATGGATAAAGTGATACAGGTATTCAGCCCATACCTGTTGGCTGTTTTCCCAGTTGCAGGTATTTAAAATCCTGTTGTGTTTCTAGCATAAATGTATATAAAATTTGTATTAGGCAGGAGCTGCTCTTTAGTGGGGATCTTCCCAGTAACCCCCTAAGGCAGAGGCAACAGTGACCAGCCAGTTCTTGACTGCCAGGTCTGTGCCTTCCCTGCACAGAAACAGTTAAAAGTCTTTGCCTGCAACCCTTGTTAGAGTATCTTGTTTCATAGTTGTATTTCTCCAGAAGAAAAAGAATCATGAAAGAGAGGGGGTTTTGCCAAGAACGTTGCATTCTGTTCTTCACAAAATACCTGTTACTGCAAATGGTGCAGGACAATCCATGTTCTGGAGTGGCTTCCCTGTCTCCTACCTGCCCTAATATATAACTGGGCTACAAGGAACATGGAGTGACATCTGCACATAAAACATTCTGGAAGTGCTGCTGGAAGTATGGCTGGGGAAAGGGAGCCAGAAAGCTTAAGGAAGCCTTTAGAGTATAGGTAGCCCTTCTGCATCTTCATTTTTCTCTGGTATTGTTTCCTGATATCCATATGTGGCAACATTGGCACACAAATAAAAATCGGGGCCCAGGTGTAGTTTTGCCTTTCCCTCCTTTCCAAGAAGGACCAGGACTGGAAACTCCAAACCTTTCAACAAATAGTTAATTCTCAAGAGAATGAGCCACTCATCATTCCCTTCATAAACAAACAAATAAATAAAAGATACAAGGATCTGATCTGTTTAATACACGCTCTCTAAAAAAAAAACAGTGCAGACTAAACATAGTAATCTGATGATTACAAATTATTCAGTCCTATAAACAAAGCATGACAATTGATGACAATGTGGTATCATATGTCATAAATGCAGAGCATCCTCTCTCATCCATAACAAATAATTTGGAGTATTTCAGACCCATAACAAATATATTTAATGTAGTTCACTGTAAAACAATGTGTTTCTCTGTTTCTAATGCTATATTCAAAAGCCAGCCAAGAGCTTTTTGTGTTTTATTCATTATATTCATTTTATGCTGCCAATTCTACTTACTATTCCAGTATTCTGATTTGAAAAATCAAAATTTAATGTATTTCAGGCAACACTTAATGCATGTGTGTCTTCAAATTATAGGAGATGGTTTATAAAGTAAATGATGAGACCACAATATAATTCCTGAGTTTCAGAGAGATTTTTATCTTGCTAGTTAAAGTATTGATCACAGCCCTTACATTCTATTGGTAGCTTTTATGTGAGGCAAATCAGCTGCCATTGTTACCAATGCTGAAAATCTCGCTGAGTAACCTATGATAGGTTTATTACACAGGAAGCTTTGATCCTTAGGACTCGAGTAAGATATTCAAAGTTCTTATAAAGGTGTCTTAGAGACAGTGATACAAATTCAGATGTCTGCTGTCAAACGACTCCTATTCAGCAAACCCCTATGAGCCACCTTTGAAAGTGAAACAGCAAGATGACACCATTCATAGCTTGGCTTTTGGAGAGGTCTTTG